TTCGATAAGAGATCTTTCCTGTGGAACCGTAAAGCTTGATTTCCTGGTCATATATTGCTTTCAAGCGTAGACCAGTCTTGAGGCGTATGCTACAAAAGATCATGTTTTAAATATGTGAGAACAGAATGTGGATAGAATACGCACCTTTGGCACTTGCAGACGAGCGTCATATAGTTCATCATGACGAGGAAGTTGGCACGAACGTCCTTACTTATGATTCCTCGGCATCGAACTACAACCGAAATCAGCGACTCGTCCTCCACACATGGAGTCTGGATATGATTGGCGATATCCTGCAGCCAGCTCAGTGGACTGTGGATGGTTGAGTTGCAGTGAGCGGATGCAAGTTCTGCAATGATGGTAGCAGCTTCATTGCTACATGTGATCTTGGGGTCATTGTATTGACGGTGACGCCATAAACCTCTCCTGGCACTTGCTCTCGCCAAATTACTACTCCACCTTCCTCCATCTCTGCCTCCTCCTCCTCCTCCTCCTCCTCCTCCTCCTCCTCCTCCTCTCCACCATCAATGCGCAGAAGATCATCACCACAGACAGCGGCACGGCAGCAGCACGCTGCGCAAGTAACCGCAATCTTCTAGCACCACGATTACAATCGTCATTTGCAAAACGAGGTCGATCACGATCAAACCCAGGGTCAGGCGGCTCGCCCGGTGGTCCACTGCGTGTGTGTATTGTAGAACGGCGAGGTCGTTTAGTAGGGCGGGATGAATCAGAATAACCAGTGTCCTCGGTGTGTGATTGTGCTCTGTGACGGACAGTAGGTAACTTGGAGAGAACATCGCCAGCAGTTGTTGAGGTTGATGAATCAAGCGGCAGATGGCTAACAGGAGGAATGGGAATTGAGTCACAATGATCAATAGGTGTGCATGAGGGGGAATGAGTATCGGACAATGACTGTGAATGCAAGCATTGAATATGAGCTTGATCAGTCAAATATTGATACAAGTCATTCAATGCAGGTGGGGATGTCCATGTCCTGCCAATATCTGTAGCAGATGACTGCTGCGTCAGGGGAGAGAACAATTGGCATGCTAAAGCGGAATGGAGGGGACATGACTTATTGGAACCAAGAAGGCGCTGGTTTGGGCAAAACGGATAGATAATTAAGTAAGTTACAAATTCCTTGCCCCTAGCTTAGGGTTCAAATTGCGAATTGGTTGCAATCAGAGAGCTCTCCGCAATCAGCGCCCATCACCTTGCATTTGGCAATTACAAAGTTTAACATACCGGTCCGCCGCCTCCTTCTCAATGTGATTGCTCAGAGTTCTTAAAACATACCTTTCAGCGACCCAAGTCTCAATGAAGCTCATCCAATATCCCACTTCTAGGCCACCTCCTCCACATACCAGTGTCTTCAACAAGCATCTCCAACAAGCGTCTCCAACCACACACATATCTCCCCCCGCTTCCTCATCTTCATGTCCATAAGGATGACGACGACGCCCTGTCATACAGCCCTGCGCCAAATTGAGAGTTCTAGTTAGTTTATAGTTTATACAAAGCAATGAATTGATGAGCGAACCTTGATGACGATGCACGCCCCATCATACAGCCCCTGCGCAAAATTGAGAGTCCTAGTAAGCTTTTAGTTTAGACAAAGCAAAGAATGAAAAAACATAACTTGATGACGTCAACGCCCCAAGGTGCAGCGTATCGAAACTGAGAGTCCTACAGATGTTATGTTAGTGAATAGAGAAAGCATAGAACGAGATGAGGAGAAAGAAAATGCAAGAAAGAGACGAAAAGAATGAAACTTACGTTGGCCAACCATCACCTTGAAGAGCGACACGCAGATGAGCCACTTCTTCGTCACGTCCGTCAGGATGATGTCGAAGCTTCATCATACAGCCTGTGCAAAATTGAGAATAGAGATGTTAGTTCAGAGAAAGCAAAGCACGAAACTTACTTTTGGCCAACAAGCACCATACGAGTAGGCAAGTAGGTAGAGGACATGAGCCAACGATAGAAGAATTTTGTCTATGTCTTTTGTTGACGTGTTGTTTGTATCAGTCACGTGATGTTCATGGATAGCCATTGGCGCTTTGTATGTACATATCATGGTACCAATATTATTTGCATTGAAACAAGCTCAATTTCCTCCAACAATCTGACAACCGCCTAGCAAATTTGACCGTGACTTTTCACTGCACTGCCGTCTGCGGATGGTCTTCGGATGCTTCTTAGATTTCCTTACCATTTTTTCAACTTCAACTTGTCAAGTTATCACAAACTCAGAGCGTCAAGGTTTACTTTAAGGAGCAATGGGAAAAAACGTGTTTGCCTTACAGTCATCAATTCAATTGGTATGACTTCACAACATTCCACGGTACGTTTCCATGCAGGCTATGAATACCCAGAAGTTGATGTTGAGAAACGTGTACACACCGTAAATTCACCCTTTCCACCCAAATGATACCCCCATTCTAGGGTTATGATTGCGAGTTCCCTGCAATCAGAGGGCTCTCCACCAATCAGAGCTCTCCACCAATCATACTCATTCCCGCTCCACGTCACAACTTTTTGCTGCAGGCATAAATAAGGGCAGACAGATGTATGTTGTAGCCCATCGATGGCGGCGGTCTGGAGCTAGTTCGGAGAAAATATCAAGGTAAGTCAGTGCTTCTATTGTAACCCCTTGTATTGAACTTGCCTTTGATTTCTTTCATCGATAACCCTGGGTCTCTGCTGCCAACTCTTATCCGCACGACCTCCGCTTGCCCTTTCGTTTATCACCAACCGTCTTTGACTTTCTTTTTCCATTCCTATCCCAATCACTTCAACAATGCCTACACCAGACTTTATTCATCTGGAACACAGGAGTTATAGCACGGTGAGAGACTTTCCTCCCTATACCGCGCAATGGCTGACCTGTTTATTTTTGGAGGTTCAATCCCGTGGTCTTGTTGCTAAGACAGACGAGGGATATCAAAGAGCAGTAGTTGAACAAGCTCGCAACCTCAGGGCATTTCTAGAGCCCTCGCAGCACACACAGCCCTCGCCACAATCCTGCAGGCGTCTACATCCTTCCAACTCTCGCAGCCCTTGGATTCTTCTTGGGCCTCTGAAGGAATTTGTTGCGACACAAATGGAAGACAACAAGGCAATCGCACGCGACGTCATCAAATGGCTCTGTCGTGATGAAGTTATTTTCCAACACATGAAAAATACAGGCGATCCTACCAAGCTCCGGAGTGTGAAGGGTATTCTGCAGAGGTTTAAAGAAAAGGGGTATCTGAATGATCAAGGTGCGAGATTTGATGCGTTGACGCTTGTCTATTCTCATCTATTACCTAGGCTGGACAAATAAGATAGATTGTCCTGACTTGAAAGCACCTCACTTTAATCGCCAACACGGTGGTGGCGCCAGCACAGAAGATCGTATGACCAATTTTTTGAATCGTTTAGTCGAAGAGGGCCCTTTTACTAGCAGGCGAATCCAAGATTAAGCGAATCTGGAGCTCGGAATATTGTCAGAAACCTCTTCCTGGGTCCGCTGAAGAACGCAAACCGGATATCATACTCCTGCCCAACGACCCTCTCGTTCAGGACTGGCGTCGTGTCTTCACGCTTGCTGAGATGAAGCAGCACGGTGTTGATGTTGATAGACAAGAGTGGTTTGACGAGATCGCGAAGCGGGCGAACACGATCTGGGGTTGTCAGGATGCACGCAACTTTGTTATCGTCTTGATGTTTGTGGGTGAAGCGTTTACTTTTGCATTTTTCGATCGCAGAGGAGCGGTTTGCCTTGACATGCTAAGCATCGTGGATGATAAAGAGGAATACCTTCGGCTTGTTCTATACTTATCCCTGGCCGATCCTGGTTTGTCATTCCATCACGCTCGTATGGTCATTAGCTCACAATGTTATGCAATAGGTATGGTGGGCCTCGAGACATCTATCATGCAGAACAAAGCTGGGCGATTTATACGATCGAGGGTTTTCGGTCCCAAGGTGCCAATCAATATGGTACTCTTCATCAGCAATAACATTCATGGACGCGGCACCGTGGCTCGTCACGTCACACTGTCACGTGAGCGCATTGCACAGGCATTGCAGTTGGGTGGGTTTTGGGGTGCCATGGAGAAATGGCTTAAGGGAATGGAGAAGGAGGTGGATGTGGTGGTTAAAGATACCTGGGTTGATCTTACCGCACCTCACACAGAAGGCATGATTCTCAATTACCTTCGACTCAAAGGCGTCCAGGGTGTTACGCGTTTACTCTTTGAGGGACTTGTTGCTGGCCCTGCCTCACCACCTCCACTCTTCCAAACTCATGATCGTCCTGGCATCGGTTCCTTGAAGGATATCGGCACAATATCCCAGACTGGCGACATCAACGTGTGGAGCAGCACTGTCTACAACCGCTCTTTTTGGGGTGTTCCGACGCTAGCCTTGGCACACAAGAGCATGGCTAGGAGCGTCAACAAATATGACCGCCGCCATCCTGTGCCTGAAGGCGTCACAGTACCAAAGCTGGAACCTGTGACGCGCAAAGTTTACCAGGAGCGGATGCTCACCCGATCTTGGTTGTATCCATTGTGCGCACCCATATACGAGTTCAGCTGTATCTACGAGGCATTAGTTGGTATTTCGGATTGCATTCGATGTAAGAATCAATTTGTGTTACACGAGATTTTTTTCTGATTACAATTGCAGCCCATGGCCAGGCGTTTTCGCCCTACCTCATCTCAGAGGGAGGCAACGAGACTGACGAATTATTTCCCATCTCCTTTATGCAAGCTGACACTTCCATGTGGAATATGGGACTTGTTCGTCCAGCGATGTCAGATTGGGGTTGCATTGATCATACAGGACTTGATCCAAGCAATATTCGACGCGGCCTGCTGTATGATCATGCGTTTGCCTCCTGGAATACGCGAAGTACGTCTATGAGAGGAAGCCCCCCATCAAAGATCTTTGACAAGCATGCTGGCACCGCTTCAACTTCAATGCTGTCCTCCCAACATGAAGCCCTCAACTCGGACGATTCTCTTGTTCACCATCCTCATCATTCTCCTGCTCATGTTTCTGTCTATAATACTTCTGCCTCTGGTACTTCTACTAACACTTCTACCGCTCGTACCTCCAATCCTTCACCTTCTTGTGCGCCAGTTGCACCCACAAACGTCTCCCCCGTCCTACATTTGGACGCGCCTTCAACGTCAATAATCCCTTCCGCACCTTCAACTTCCACGATCCCTTCTCAACCAGTGTCGACTGCACCTTCACGTGGAAGACGTGTGACGAGTAAAGGTAAAGGCAAGCAAGGAGGACGAAAGGGTACAGATGGGAGAAAAAGTACCCCTGGTGCTGTCAATGCCCCTCCCTGATTCTTCTGCTGCTACACGCAAGCGCGGTTTTGATAGCGTTTCTCAAGGCAAACCGCCTGACGGTCCATCCAAACAACAAGCTCCCCTTCATCATGTACCGAAGGTGAACATCAAGCCCAAGCATGTTGTCCAAAGTCTTCAAGTCGACGTTGCTGGCTACGGCTCTTTGAATATCGACGATGATCTGGAACGATTTAAGGAAAAGGGTGGCATTTACGAGCTGACAGTGAGTATCAATTGTTGTTTTTGCCCTCCTGCTCATCGCATCATATGTACAGGGCACTCGAGCATGGATGGCCATCCAGATGATGTTCGCACAAAAACCAGGCCAAGATATCATTCGACGTGAAATCGCACATGATCTGGAAGGTTACTATTATGTGATCCTCACCCTCGCATTCATGTTTGACGCACCATATGCATTGAAGAAAGTTCCACACCCCGATACAGCCAGCGGAGGGGAGATGTGGGTCCATCGTTGGCTTGAGAACACCATAGAGAAGGAGATCTGGCATGAAGCCGTTGAAAAACAACACTATCTGGCTACTGATGCAGGGTTCACTATGGTGGACGGAGTTTTGGGTAACGACTGGGCAAATGAGCCTGTCCGGATGATGTTGAAGGAGATGAGGACGATCCTATTTGTTGAAAGCCAACCAAGCCACTCCCGCATGCTCGAAGTCATCAACACTGCACTCTTCAAGATCCGTACTGATCGTACACTAACCCATCTCTGCCAACCTCAACAGATGACAAACGAGTGGGCCAGGGCAGTCGGTGGTGGCGGATTTGTCAAACACTCACAGACGCTCCCTGCCTTGCGGATGAATTTGTTGTATCACAAGGATCGTCAAGATGCCGAACTCAATCTCTTTGCTCGCATGCCATGTCCCCCAGTGCAAGAACGCAAGCTCACGCCCGGTAACTCGTCACAGTACCTGAAAGGTACCGGTGGAAAGACAGCGGATCGCATTAATGTAATGGCCGCTCCTGTGGTGCTGAAGGAACTTCGGAAGGAATGGGCATCTTAGGTCTATGATTTGCTTGAAGCGTGCATGGTCAGATCACACTTTATTTTTATGATTTTCAAAGGACAACATATCACACGCGTTGTACAGTTTCCAAGTCCTTTAGCCTTTGCATAAGCTTTTATCATACGTAACATTCAATACGTATTGTATTTTTAGCTCAACAATTTTCATTTGCAATTGACGCTTGCATAGACGCTCCTCCTAGACTCTTTCTGCATCACCTTGGTATACTAGTTCATCAAATGGTCAACAGGCGAGTTCTTGGTGAGGCTTCAACTTCTTATAAATGCCCTGCTCCAGGCTGCATTCGCACATTCGGTACTACACAAGGACTGAATTCTCATCTACGCAATGCTGCAAGCTGTAAATGGTATAAGTTAGGGAAGGGAAGAGAGCTGGATAGCATGGGATGATGAAGGTACAAGTGGATTTGAGATGGAGGGACTACCAGATGGGATAGCGGATGAGGTGGATGATGATTTATTTCAGTTGATACCTTTGGGGCCTGATAGTGAGTTGCAGTATCAATTTCTTGTTACGTTCTTACATTATTTCTAGTTCATGAAATACACAACGAAGATAACCAGAACATGATGGACATAGACCAGGAGCAGGAAGAGCTCACAGCGGGTCCGTCTAGGCACAGAACCGCTTTAGCAGAGGAAGATGCGCGTGTCACAGAGACTCATTCTACTGCTGGGAGGGTCATACGCATGGAGGAGACAGTGTATGCTAAATGGCGGACACAATTTGGATTAGGTGATGGAGAGGAGGTGGAATCAGGTCGTTCTGATGATGAAGATGAAGATGGTAATTTATTCTACCCCTTTGCATCACGACTGGACTGGCAGGTAGCATGTTGGGCTGTGCAAGAGGGAATAGGGCACAAAGCATTTGACAGGTTGTTAGCTATACCAGGGGTATGTCAACGTACATATTTTCTATCAATATCATGGCTGATTTTTTTGCAAATAGGTTAGAGAGCGTTTAGGACTTGCATATCACAATATCAGAGGACTCCATCAAACCATAGACAGCATCCCTCCTCGAGCTAAATGGCAATCAACTTACTTGGCCTTCAATGATACGCCTCACTATAAGCATGAACTACACTATCGAGATCCTTTGGAAGCCATTCAAACATTGCTGGGCAATCCTGCTCATGCTCAAGATATTGTCTATAAGCCTTCAAAGATATTTACAGACTCTTCTCATTCTACCCGCATATTTAATGAAATGTGGACAGGGCGTTGGTGGCATGCAGTCCAGGTGAGCGTCTTAATATTGATTACACTGCTATAACAACTAAGTATGTTTTTTACAGGATAGACTTCCTCAGGGCGCATCTGTAGCTCCTGTAATTATTGCCACAGACAAAACTCAGCTGACCCGGTTTTTCTGCATCCAAATCAGCATACCCCGTCTACCTCACTCTAGGCAATATACCTAGAGCAATACGACGGAAATCCAGTCAGCACGCCTGTATTCTTATAGGGTATTTATCTGTGGATAAAATCCTAAAGGAGGAGCTATCTGCAAGAGAAGTCTCTTCCAGGGTACAGCGTCTCTTCCATGACTCAATAAGGATCATTTTGGAACCGCTGAAAGAGGCAGGAAGAAGAGGAATAGAGGTGGTGGGTGGAGATGGTCTTGTTCGCCTGGTCTTTCCCATTCTAGCTTGCTATGTGGCGGATTATCCTGAGCAATGCTTGGTTACCTGTACCAAGTACGGTACTTGTCCCAAGTGTAGGGCTAGAGCGGATGAATTGGCTGAAATACAACATTTTGCCAGACGTACTCAACCTTGGACCTCATCAGTAATTGACCATGCCAACATCTCCACAAAGACCGACTCTGCCTTTCGTAAACAGTGCATGTCTCAGGATGTAGCTGGAGGCGTATTTGAACCATTTTGGCTGGACTTCCCTCATTGCGATATTCACTTGGCTATCACATCTGACGTACTTCATCAACTGTATCAAGGGATATTCAAGCACATGGTCGAGTGGTGTCAGGAGCTTATGGATGAAGAAGAACTGGATCACAGACTTAGAACTCTCCCTCCTTCTTATGGCGTCCATCACTTCCATAAAGGCTGGTCTGCTTTGGGTCAAGTCGGTGGAAAAGAGAGGAAAAATATGGCTAGAGTGCTATTGGCTTGCTTAATTGGCAAAGTTCCAAGAGGCGTCATTCAGGCATACCGTGCCCTCCTTGATTTCATTTATCTTGCCCAATATCCCACTCATGATGACGACACTCTGGAATATATGCAACAGGCCTTACAAGATTTTCACCTTCACAAGGAAGTCATCATTAATCTGGGTATCCGAGACCATCTCAATATTCCCAAATTCCATTCCTTGCAACACTACCTGGAGAACATACGCAACTTCGGAACTACAGACAACTATAACACGGAGATGTTTGAGAGGTTTCATATTGACTTTTGTAAAGAGGGGTGGTACGCTTCCAATGGAAGAAATGAAAGGCCTCAAATGATCTCTTGGCTAACTAGAAGAGAGAAAGTAGCGTCATTTCAAAGCTATCTCAAGATGTCTATGGAGGATGAAGAAGAAGAGTTTTCCCCCTCAAGGTTTAGAGATCATAGAGTCATCCTCACTAAACGTCCTCATCGCCTTCACCAAAATATCTTGGACGTCATGCAGAATCATTCTTGCAAAGGCTTCAAGAAAGATCTCATCACCTATCTCAACTCTCAGTTGGCTCACTCTCATTCACGCGGGCAGCTCAGGAACATGGATCTTCCTTTTAGTCATATTGATATCTATCATGGATTCAAATTCTGTCTAGAGTCATTAGGCAATGACGTTGACTTTGATCAATTGGAGGAGGCAGATTTTGTCAAAGCACAGCCACCTGTTTCTCATAAAGCTGGACGCTTTGATACAGTTGTAGTCATGGATGATCCTGACTGTGAAAGCACTGGTTTAACAGGTGAGTAATATTATGATATATCTGTTGAAAAATTGTATGAAAATTTCAAAACTATAGGAACACGTATTGGAAGGTTGAAGATTATATTTCGTCTGCCACAACAAGTATATGGGTCTATTCAACCTGCATGGACTAAAGACCCTTTGGCATATGTTGAGTGGTATACTCCATTGAAATCTGCAGCAGAAGACTATCATGAGATGTATACTGTCAAGAAACCTTTACTTTCTTCAGATGGTTCATTGCCAGGTAAAGTTATTCCACTGTCTTGTATTAGACAGACATGTCAGCTTGTTCCGAACTTTGGCACAACAACCATTCCTATAGATTGGACTTCAGATAATGTATTAGATAAATGCGATACCTTCTTACTTAATTGTTTTACCTCCAAATATGCTTACCAAACTTTATGGTAATATATAGACCTTCATGATTTCTATATTGGTCTCTATGGCTATCATAGCTGGCCATAGACTGTGTAGAGCTATGACCCACTATCACAACTATATAGAGGATGATTATCTATATAGAGAAACAGTTTTTCCTGATGCATCCCTCCTCCGGTTGAGACATTATCTCCCGTTGAGCATACGCCTGATGTTATCACTCCTTCTGATGTACCGGTCGTACCGTTTGCTCTTACGATTGCCCCGGCGACCACCGCCCCTCGCCCACGCCCCACTCGTCTACGACCCTTCAAACGAGAGATCTCCGTCTCCCCTCCCTCGCGTAACAGCACTTTGCGCTCCAAAACACCATCCCCACCTCCACAATCATCCTCCGTCACCATCGTGAAGACCGAACCCATTGATAATTTCAAATGTCGCTACTGTAAAGAATTCGGCCATCGCCACAAGAACTGCCCAACATATTTCTGCCGCGTATGTCGTAACCTCGCGCCAGGGCATCTTTCGGTCTTTTGTAAAGACCTTAAAGGCGAGAAACCTATTCCACTAGTATGGACGGATGAAGGCTTCTACGAAGCTCTTGCTAAATGGGAGGCTGACAAGGACACCGCCTTGGAGCAGATCTCTATCGAAGAAGATGAGAGAATGTTCGTTCAATGCGCAGGTGATCGTGACAACTATGACGCTTATGATAACTTTGATTGTTGAAATCGGTGACTTCAACGATAATAACGGGGTAATGTTACAGTCAAGTACGCCCCTATTCATTTTCTTTCTTTCACATCATTGTATTACATCACGATCGCATCTTGCCGTCGCTAGATGATCTATTCTCGTCTTATCTCTGACTCGTCTTATCTCTGACTCGTCTTATCTCTGACTCATCTCTATGACCTCATTGTACCGGCCCTAAAGTCGTTACCGTTTACTATATAAACTCGTTGTGTACTATGTAGTTCTTTACTTTAATCTTACTAGGTTTTACCTGGAACTTCCTTCGCTTAAGACCTCCAATCTTAAGTCGTATTGAACGTGATTCAAGTCAAGGACACTCTCCTAGACTTGTCTTAGAAACCATTGAACTTCGGTATACGCCGAAGCCTTGAACCGACCTTGGCCGATTACTCTTATCGAGTAGCCATACGTCAGAACTATCCTAGTTCGTAACAATATACATGCTCTGGTACCTGTTGAATTCCGCTGGCTGCAGGACTTGACGAAGCAGTTTCAAGTTGTTTAACTATGGAAACAGGGTCTGCCTGTCTTCTCTGTGCATCATGATCCTCGATCTTGAGCTGAGGGGGAGGTTTTCCCAAGTTGTATTCATCAGGAAACTTGTTCTGTAATAGTCTCGTCAGCACAATCACTTAGCGAATAAGTGAAGTAGTACTCATACAATCATGAACGCCCAGTGGCTTATGTCGGACAATGGAATTTTATGATGGTCACCATTTTTCATGACAAAACAACACCCTTGGTGTTGCGCACAGGCATATTTCAGTTGCAATCCAACAACAATCTTCGGAGGGGGGAGTTTCGCAACATCAGTGTCATTATTCCAGTTGACAGAATCAGTAGGTTTTCCATCATCATCACTGTCCTTGTTGTCTGCCTTTCCCTTCTTGCTTGATCGAGCCTAAGTGAATTCGTAGGTTATTTTGTGTTTTGCCACATTTCTTATTTGAGCTTACCTTTGTCTTACTGCCAGTCAATGCCCCCTTCTTCAATTCACCTTTGCTTACTTCTGGCAACCGTAGATCAACAACAACTACTGAAAACTTCTTCTTCCGTGACCTTCTGGTTGCACTGCTGAGTTCTTCACTTGCATCCTCAAGCAACTGGAGCAGGTTGCGAGCTGAGTCGAGTTTACGCGGGGGATCCGTCTTCGCATTGGTTGAAAACTTGTAGGCAATACTGAGATCCTCTAGGGAGATCTCCATAGCCTTTGCAATCTTGCGACAGAAAATCTCCCAGGATATATCGGACCTCACAGTCAAAGTGTCAAGGACGCCATTGACTGGCACATGGAGAGGTATGTCAACAACATCTTCGTCAGTCTCAGGTTCTTCATTATCTTCGATGCCATCGTCCGATTCAGATTCTATGTCACAGACGAGGTAGTAAGTTTCGTTTATGAGAGCAGTGACACATTACTCACCATCCTCATCTTCCAACTGGCTATGCTCGTCATCCAGGCCACCGGTCTCGGATTCTTTGAGGTTCTGGAAGAAGTCTTCTTCCTCGATATTGTATTCCCCAGCCGGATCTGGGACCTCCGAGTCTCCAACTGGCCGAGCTAAGCCAAGTAACAATGCAGCGGCGGCTGTGTTCTCATCAAAGTCAGTGGACTTTGATGCCACTACAGTTGCTCCAACATCTGGTGTGGAGCTGGATCCACCTGGCACTGTGGCCGCTGACGACTCCGGAGTGCCGAGCTTTTTTTGTGGAATGGGCCGTGGCCGTGGTTTAGGCTTCGAGACGACTTCTGGAGTTGGAGGAACTTGAACTTCCACCTGGGTCCTACTGGGGGGCTGAAATTTCTTTTTGGGAGGACGGCCGCGTTTCCGAGGCTCCTTGTCATTGCGCACTCGGGTAGAAGCCTTCGCCATCCCGCAAGATAATGTAGCAGACCGGGAAAAGTGAGTTGTGTGTGAATTTGGTTTTTATGCTAATAGACACGACTTGTGTCACACGAGGCAAGTGTCCTCTTCGCTAAATAATTCCATTCTTTCTGCAGTCGTCTGCGCCTCATTTTTCCGATCATGTTTGCATCTTACCGCTTGTCGTCATCTTGCTTCGTTATTGAAATAAAAACCAATCTTCGTAGTTCTACTGGCTCTGAGGGCAGGTGACTACCAACTTCACCGAATCACTTAGTTTTTTCGCTGGTCATCTTCGTTCGATTTTTCTGATCAGTTTTGTCGCTTGGACCATGTCAATAGCTTGCTTCGTTGTTGAGATAAAATTCAATCTTTGTAAGACTACTTTTTTTAAATAAATGCACGTTTTTTTTTGGAAATACCGCCGGCCTCTACCATTATGCAAACTGCACATACATATACATTCTGATTTGTTTATAGCTCCAAATGAGGCGTCATTCAATGCCTGTAATTCCACAATCCATCGCCAGCAATAAATACATATTCTGTGACTGGCTCCATGAGTTCGAGGATGGGGCAGGAGTATATATTAGGTCCTGACGCATGCACCATGGTGCTTAATAGGTCTACGTCCCCTCAGTGTAAGTTACATGCACAATTCAGATAAAACCTCATGTACTGAGATAAGAGCGGGCCGCCTACGAGTTGCATTTCTCAAAATGTTGTGATCAGTGGGTGTGATCTCGCGTTGTCTGTTGGCCCACTACCATATGACGCAATGGATGATCAGATAGAACCCATACGCAATGGCCTTCTGTGTCGGTTTATAATTGTCTGAGGACGACCATGGACATAAGTTCGGCGACCGCTGCAAAACAATCACTGACCCATTATGAAACCTCCTCGGCCTTCACTGTAGCAGGTAATGTCGAATATTGTAGCCAACACCATCAGCTCGGTGTTGCAAAGTCTACATGGACGAAACTGTTGTATGTGCTATTTGGTAGTCTCAAGATTGATCAACCACTGCGATCGATGACATGGACAGTTGTTCAAGTTGTATTACATCGGCGGTGAAAAAATCTTCCTCCATTCGGTGCACCTAAAGTAAAAGGGTCACGGTTTTGTTAGATAGGGCCCCCGCATGGTCTATCACACGCACGATTATTGCTATGTCGAAGTCGATGCACAATTCGGAAGAGCTAGATAATCACGCCGCGGCGGAGCAGTGATTGGGGATTGGCGCCGTTACGATATACTTAGAGCTCAACTTGCCTGTGGCCGTGGCCCGTAGCAGCACCTCGGGTCCCGGGTCGACTCATGTCAGGCCAACCAGTGTATTCCAATTATTACACGGTCTCGCGGGGACGCGGCAGGCGGTGAGGTATTAGCCAGCATAAAAGGACCCCACTGCAAGGTCGGAGGGATTCGGACAACCTCGATACATATCGCACAATGCTAGGGTATGGGTGCGCAAATTTATGAATGCCTATCGAGACAGTGAGAAGAGGCCTTGAATAATCGTGAGATGGCGTACCTAGCTATGCCAAGACTGAGATTATCGAGGTCATCAGCACAGCACGTGCGGTTCGTGCACGCCGGCTCGGGACATCTCCGATTTGGGGATTTCAAAGTGGTTAAAAATGAAAGTACGTTATCCACGTTCAACCGCGCATCAACGTTTCATCTCACCCGTGCCCCTACTGGTACACGCACGGATACCGGATGCAGCTCGCAGAATTATCATTTTTGTATGCCGTACTCCATGGAGCTCGCCCAAAAATATGCTGTTCGGTCCACAAAGGATGCTTAAACTTGAAAGAACTCCCACTGTATGATAGGTCAGAGGGACGAACGTGCTTCCAATTCAATCTCATTCTAAGGTTTGGCAGTTGCAACCAAGCTGACTGTAGCTGTACACACTGCTCACTATTAATAATAAGTACTACTGCAGTCCAATGGCCCAGCACCTAACCACTTCCCCGAGAACTCATGAGGACGCAAAGTCTGATTTTTACCTTAGGACTATGCTGCATTGCGAGCCTCGCGTCCCCTACTCAGATTGTACTGGGCACATCACCAGTAGTTGAACCTCGTATGTGCTTTGTGGTCATTTCAACCACACCTTTGGTCGCTCAAATGATTCAAAGAACCTGTCAGGAAACTTCACGGTCGTTTTCTGCACATCACAGACATCCACCCCGATCCGTTTTATGAACCTGGTGCATCCCGAGCCTCTGCATGCCATCGACCCAATCTCAAGAAGGACAAACGTCCGGCAGGTTACTACGGAGCACCATATAGGTGTGTTGATTATCTTTGTTTCTGATCCTTGACTAACGTTCATTTCTGTCCAGCTCGTGTGACTCACCATTCAGCCTCACAAATTTCACGCTTGACTTTTTAGATGAACATTGGACCTCTGAAATTGATTTTGTAATCTGTGAGCGTTTAACTGTGTTATTTGATTCTCACTCATATATCGCGTACAGGGACCGGTGACAATGCAAGGTATGATATTGGTCGGACCTCTTGAGATGCAATTTGATCAAGAGCATCTAGACACGACAACGATCACGACATACCACGACCACTCGACGAAATTTTTGACTTGAATCGCGCTGTAGCTAAGAAGATGGAGCATGTATTTTTAAGGAAAGGCATCCCAGTCGTGCCAAGTTTAGGTAGGTCCTTTGCGCCTCTTTGCAGAGACTTCCTGAACAGTGCATCTTTGGTTAGGAAACAATGACATATGGCGTAAGCGCTTCTAACATTCTTGAGCACGCGACAAGTATGTTGACTGACGACTAATATAGCTCATGTAAGAACATTGTATCACATGGGCTCTTTCAACTGATCCCATTTACCTTCCCATCAGAATAGCTTATCTGCTGGTATGTTTGTTACTTTCCTTCTGTCCAGCGTTAATCCCTAGCAAACAGGACCAAATAAGATATTCGAGGAGTTCTCTTCGTATGTCCACCCCAGATTTTAGTCACTTCCAAGATCTTACAAAACAACCAGGATATGGAGTGCATTTATACCCCCGACGTCATCAGCATCATTTCACCAAGGAGGATACTTCTCAACGGAGATCATACCTGATGCAGTGGCTGCTATCAGCATTAATACCTTGTACTTTTATCAGAAGAATCACGGCAAGTGACGCATAATTCTCTGTTTAGCCTATTCACTGATGCACACCATCAGCTGTAGAGGGATGTCGTTATGCCGATCCAAAGGACCCTGGAAACATCCACCTTGATTGGCTTGAAGAACAGCTGGAAGGATTCCGATCTCGACAGATGCAGGTAAGAATTCTGAAATATCTTTCAAACCTTTTTTTTGATGTCGTCGGGTAGGTGTGGATTACAGGTACGCTATAGATCGCTTCGAACACTGACAACTTTTCATATCTTCGTCAATGCAGGACATGTACCTCCATCCGAAACGAAGTACTTTCCCGAATGCGTAAGTACTCTACGTAGATATGGCATTAATCATCTCAACCTTGTCAGTACTACCGTTTCGTAGAGTTGAACCTACGATTCCAAGACACGATTTTGGGTAATTTGTATGGGGTGAGATTCGATGTTCATTCCATGTGGTCGAAGTTAACTTTAGTGTTTTAGCACTTAAATATTGACCATGTATGCACGATTACTTCAAAGCCACCCTCAGTTTACTAACCCAATGCAGTTCTCTTTCTTGAAGGCCGATGAGATCGACATGTCTATCAAGACCTCGTCAAGCAGCACACTCTTTCGGACGCTTATCACCGATTTTTCGGAGATACCGGAACCCCTCGAGGACACTCAATACGATAACTATGCAGTGGTGAACGTTAACTCTGCCATTGTACCAAATCCTTACATTCCATCCTTCCGAATTTTTACGTATAACACCACTGGACTAGCGAGATTCGTGAAGGATATCGGCTCTGATCCATATCTTGAAACGATGAAGGCCACTCAGCGGCAACGTGCCTTGAACCATGAGCAAGTCCACGCATTCAAGAAGAAGCCGAAGTGTGAACGCAAGAAGTCCCGTAACACGTGGAGGTGCCACTTTGACAAACCCTGGCACTCTGATAGCGAGTCACCATCAAGACGCAACTCGTTGTGGTCGCCTCTAGGGTTCGCACAGGTGCGATCATACCCCACGAATAGTCCCCTGAAATAACACAGGTTATTTACAGTTTTACATGCCAAGGCTGGCAGAGTTCGATCAGACCCATGATCCAGAGTTCGAACTCGAATACATGACCTTCCCTCTTTCAACCCTGCATCTCGACGAGGAAGCACAGAATATTACGAACCACCAATATGTTATTCCTCTTCGACTTCTGCCAGAAGAACTTCGCCAACCTGGTGCTGTGGAGTCGGAGTATACGCCTTATGAGTTGAATGACTTGACCATCCCATCGTGGTTGGATCTTGCCACAAGGCTTACGAAGAACAAGAAACTTCGATCAAGGTTCAAGGAGTTCATGTATTTGGGCGGTGTGGAGGAATGATTGTTAGGGGTGTCTGTTTCGGAAACAGACGATTTGAACGTTAAGATTTGGGCTATGTATCATGATAGATGTACTGGTTGTAGAACTGGAGCGCGTGATAATTTTGTGTTATACTACACCTACATACAGTACCTTGTTTATAGCGGTCCAGCTGTATTCTTGAACCGGAATATCATATTCAATCAGTTCCAACCAGGAGTCTAGGACTACATCCTTTGTCTCAGCTGAGAGCTCGACCACTGGCAGTGTCGGATCTTGACATTTCATATTGGTGTGTGCACGCACAGCTTGTGGATGCAGTACGGTTTTCCAGGCGGTGGTGATAGGTGGTGATAATCAAGAGCAATGTGTCCTCGCTCAATTTGACTTGCCTCACACCGCTCTCTTATCGATGAACTCAATTGAGTGCACTGATTTGCGCGATCGTCGTTGAACGATTTGGTAAGCCATTCCTAACTTCGACCATAACCTTGACTGCAGTCTGGTGCTGATTCTGTGAAGATCAAACTCGCGGTCTACGAAGATCCATTTGAGCACCAAGAATGGAAGGACATGAGCAGAACGTCCGCCATTCCTAGAATTCTAGATCGTTACTTTGTTGCCTCCAGGTCACACTTTCACGCAACCCTATGGATATGGAACGACCCATAGCCCTGGGTGACTTATGATCAGCGCTTGGCTGCATTCAGTCGTTCTTTGTCTGCACGCGACACAATATAAAACGCCCCAAGGCAGACATCATATTCTACGGTTTAAGATCGGTTCTTCGTTCTTGTCCTGAAATCCACAGGACTTACTCTGACCAGCACTGTTAGCTTTCCAAAGCGTACGCATACCAGTAGGTTTTCTCAGCTCGAGAATGGAAGTATGATGCGACGTGACCATTAACAGGTCCACGCATTACCATTCTTGAGCATACTCAGAGATGGGAGGTCTATTCAGTCGGAGTCGGCCAGAAGCACCCAGTCCATCCCTCGCTGATATAAAAGCGCGCCAGGACGCAGAGGCAGCTGCTGCGCAAGCTCGAAAGGATGCCGCGGATGCCAGAGCACAGATCACCGAGCTCATCAAGTCGAATCAAGAATCCCAGCAAAAGTCTATGGAGGCTCAGCAGGCCGCCTTGCAAGCCGCAGCAGCCTCACAAGATCAGGCCCATAAGGAAATGATGGCGATGGTCCAGGCCGAACGTGCTGCCAACGAAGCTCGCTTAGCGGCGGAAGCCGCTGCTCGTACCTCCAGCGACGAAGCAAAACAGAGAGCAGCGGAAGCAGAGGAGGCGCGTAAGCGAACCGCAGCTGTCCAAGAACAAGCCCAAAGAGACGCCCAGGCTGCCCAGGAGCAGGCCAGGAAATTACAGGAGGCTGCCAATGAGGAGAAGAAGAAGGCGACTGCCGCTCAGGAGGCGGCCAACGCGTCGAAGAAAGTGGCGGAGGAGGAAGTAAGGGTGGCCAATGTTGCTAAGGAGGAGGCTGAACGCAAGTTGAAAGAAGGTATTCAACCTGTGGTGACTCCCACACCTGAAGAAGTTAGCGCCGCCAAGCGGAAAGTCCAATATCGCGAGGACCTTTTCCATTTCGCAGTAGCTGGGGTAGCAGGAGGAGGGAAATCATCTCTTATCAATGCGTTCCGCGGCTTGCGTAACAAGGATGCCGGATCTGCCGCCACTGGCGTCACCGAGACAACGCTGGCCATGGCTAGATACGCCAGCCCCAACGCGGAATACCCATATGTCTGGTACGATATCCCGGGCGCGGGCACGCTCAAAATCCCAGACTGGCAGTATTTCAACGCCCAAGGACTTTACGTCTTTGACTGCATCATCGTCCTGTTCGACAATCGCTTCACCATGACCGACATCGCCATCCTCACCAACTGCAGGCGTTTTAAGATCCCCACGTATATCGTGCGTTCTAAGGCAGACCAGCACATCCGTAACATCATGAAGGATATGGGGTACGACAGCGATGACGATGAGAGCGAGGACCAGAAGAAGAAGCTTTACCAGGCTGCACGGCAGCAGTTCATTCAGCAGACACGCCAGAGCGTGAAAGACAATCTGGATAATGCCAATATGCCTGACCAAAGGGTTTACATCGTTTCTAATGAACCTATGCTCGGGGTCGTGAAGGAAAAACGCCCAAAGAAAGTCATCGACGAGATTGAGTTGTTGAACGACTTGATCGGAGAAGCCCAGACCAGGCGAGCGCGCCGTGATACTGAAAAGGCGACTACGAAGGAGAAGTAGTCGATGATGATACAGTTCTTCCTATATTTCTTCCTTCGAGCTCTTGTTGATACTTCTCCATTCTCGACATGATCATATTGTTTGTGACCGATCTTGGCTGCCGACTCGTAGTCGGTGATAATTCTTCCTGTATTTCTTTCTCCGAGCTGGTGTTGTTAGCATCTCCATTTTGACATATTCATACTGTGTTCACAAGTATCGCTCGTGAACGGCTCTCTTCGTTGACTCCGACTCCCAAGCGGTTTATCCGTCTCCTCCTCTTCAATTGTGTTCTTGTTGATAATAAGACAAACGGTATGTCGGCGTGCAGCAGCGTGGCGGTGTGGCGGCATCAAAAGTGCGTTGTTGTGAATCAGTGATAGGTGCTGTTTGCGGCTTCGCATGGTCGCCGTCAAGTCATCGTTCTACGTTGGTTCCACGTTGGGCAGCGTTTACATTTGCATAATGGTCTACATTGACAGTGTGCATTGCTGATATGTTCTGGATTCTCGAAGCCGCCGTCAGCGAACGAAGGACAATGCAGAGCGCTGACGCATGGCCGAGTGCTGCGGGAGTCCACGGAAGCCACCTCTACGAGTAGCGCAACAGTTTCAACCACTTGTGTGATTGCAAAATTTCGAAGGGTACGAGAGAAAGGGTAGCAATTGAATAGATTTCAATATTGCGTATTTCGGCAAGATGATTTTGAATTCCATCTAGAAACATGATGGGACTGGTGCCAAGAAGCACTTGAATGGACATGAGAACCATGAGATCTTCTGCTTCCAAAATTTACGATGGCGGCCAGTGGGTAGAACGAGTGGGTTATGTAGAGATCCATGATCTTTGTACAACCGAAGGATATAATTGCAAGTACACAGTTGCACATGAAAGGAAACTGTTACAATTTCATCCATAGGTATGTGCTGTATTATAGACGTTTAATTCAAACCTGCAGCATCCGAGTCGTCGAGGATCATGTTTTGAGATGTTTTGCCAAACGAGTAGCGTGACAGTGTCACACTTTGGCCCGCTCGCCGCTCAGCAACTTGAGGGCCCAGGGGGTTGACTAGATTGTATTTATTCCCGCATAGAGTAATACTCTCCATAGGACACAAGTCAAAATCCAGAAGAAACAAAATTGAAACAGGTCGTCTAGGATGCATTTGATGATCATGTCTTTGCTCTCGACTGCATTTTTGAGAATTTGAAGATAGTGATGAAAAGAATCGACATACCACGTTCGCAGTACGTGATGAATGCACCAAGACGCACGAGACGGATATCGTGTTCCTCTTTGCCCCTATCAGCATCTCCGTTCTTCTCAGAATCTACTGAAGACCATCCCACCCCACTGTCTTTTGCACGTTTAGCGCCTGCAATATGCTTGTCGTCGATATCGAGTATGGCCTCTATGGCCTCTAGTGTCTCACGTATATTCGCCTTGACTACTTTGACTGCTAGTTCTGGGATCCACCGCCATCAGGTCAGCAGGTCATAGTCTTCTGGTGTCTCACCAAATGAATTCATGAACACCACGCTATCAAGCATCTGTTTGTCAAAAACATAACAGACGAGAGTTTCAGAAGTCGATCTTTTCGAAGGAAGCGATTCCAAGACAAAATCAAGTTGTGATAAACGCTCCTTGGTAGAGGCTGTATACCACTGCACAGCTTCAGGCCATTGCTGGACATTCATCCAAAAATGTGCTTTAGGTCGGTAGTTGGGACGAAAAAGAACTGACTCGTGGATCTTTTGTCCGGGCATGATGATACGCCCTCGTCCAAGGTGCGGTCTGCAAGTGATCAGTGTATAACCAAATCGACGAAAATGACCATTTACAGCGCTTTAAGCGTGTTGGAGTGAAAGCAAAGATGTCCGACAGGCAACATCTCAAGCAGCCACCACGCAAGGTTTGAAGAGTCGGTAACTCCGGGTTCCAGAAATGATTCATCTTCATATCTGAAAGCTACTTCGCGGGGATTGAGTAGAAGCCCCGCCTCGCGAGCTTCTTCACGCATCCACAGTAGAGGGATATTCCGAAAGTCATGGGGGTAGCTCTTCTTCTTCCAACATGCACCACCGCTAAAACGAGTTATTAGAAGAGTGACCTCCGATGCAGGGGACACGTACACATCCGAATGACTACCTGCAAACCAAACCTCCTTAATACGACCTTCGTCTGTGGGAGGTGGCGTCGACACTTGGTATTTATGCCAGTCTGATCGATTGCTCATGCCCCCGTAAACATACTCAGGTAGAAATTTCACTCGGCGCTCATCTAGCGCAAGCGCCTGGCGGAAGTAGCATACGTGATCGCATGTATCAGTGGATGGAAAATTCTTCGTCTTCCTGACACCAACAGATGAAACGGTGTCCCTAGAAGGTTCGTCAGGAATGCCGGTATGATCGCACTCAGGTATAACCCTCACCATACACCGATGAAATGTATGACTACGCTTCTGGAGAATTGCATTTTGAACTCCTTCGCACCATTAATATCCTTGGACTTCCCGCTATTGATGGCGCAGTAATACTGGAAGGCACTTGGAAAATCAGCCGATTAATCAAAAGCAATCACTGAATGTACTCACTTTGGTATCTGCCCTTCGTTTCCAGGTCTGATAAGGCCCACCTATCAGAATAATAATAAACAACGAGGATAATTGCGCATGTAAAACTGATAGATACTTCATGGATCATTCCTGCCAAAGCACGGACTTGATATGCACCCCTCGAAAATCCTGACCTCATCTTAATTAGTGTAGCCGAGTACTTCATTCAACATCCAGGCGACATACCAAATAGAAAGATCTTATCACCATCATGGTATCTGCCTGAGAGCCATTCATAGGCGTTTAATATGTTTCGCCTGATACTACTTCGATACTGTTACCGCGAGCCGCGAAGCGTCGAATATATTGCACCCACTGAGCAATGGCCAGGTCCAAATTCTTCAAAACCTGCTCCACAAGCACAAAACCTTCGGGCCTGACATACGTTCCCACACCACTGGCGTAGTATGCTATCTGTTTTTCATCATCATCCTTGACGATATTGTCGTATAGTTCGAAGACATGAGTGGTCTGGGTGTGGATATCCTGACATCACTGATCATCGCAAAGGCATGCACAACCTACGTCGTCCCTGGTATTTGATGTTCCATCTACAGAGTTGAATAATGGTTACCTGAAACAGCTTAAACCGCCTACCAATACAGACAACCAAATTTTTCCCTGGTTTTTTGTTACATGAACATTTACATGATGTCTGCAGTCAAATGTCAAAAACTGTGCTGCTCGGTTCTGATGCTACCTTGGACCGTACCTTAGATAAACAGACAAAATTGTGTGAAGAGGACTTGGATGGGCCTAACATTGGGCACGGTAGTGAACGAGATGTCAATCCCTTGCATCGGCAAGGTATTATAGCGCTTTGAATAGAGTCGCTGCTTGTGAACACGAAGAGGCCATCATTCTGCGAGCGAGCCGTGCATGAGCTGCGTGTCGCTGGGCTCCGCACAATACAGGAGGATACCGCACCTCTGAAATGGTTACTAGTAGTATACTGAAGAAGATCCACAGTATATTAATATGAATATCGGTGTATGATTTCGTGCGGTACACTTTTCACAACTTTATCATTGTTCGACAGCCAAGCAGATGAGGCAGCAAATGTGCACGATGCCCTATCTACAACGTCAGAAGCATGGCAATTACGCGCCTTGTTCCATTTCCATCCATGAATATGATGGATACATCACATTGGCCAGCGAGTGTAAGGCTCCGAGTCAATCGCAAGGACGGAAGACGCATGGACGGAAGTTGCTGCAAAGCAACCAAAAATCTGGGACGAAGTGTTGTTCATATTGTTCATACTGTTACAATAACGATCAGTGACAAGTTGGCATGCATTCAAACCCATGAGTGCTTGAGCGTGTGGCAAAAGTATTAGTTCGAATGTTTACGTACTTTATGCCGGACTTTCAGGCATAAATACAAGCCCAGTCCCGGAGCTTCAACAGAACTGCAAGCTTCCATCTCATAATTTGCCTACTTCAAAACATTCTCTTGACGATATTGAAACTTGTTGCACAATGCACACATGATCGTCATTCAATGTGATCTGATAACTCCCAACTTTCATTGTTGCAGTACAACTTGAACATTTATATTCTATATTGTAGGGTTAATTCTGTGGAGACAAATCTTTTGGGCCTGCATGAAGTTCGAACTTCAGAACATGCAAATATTGTCCGCATTCTTGTAATGTTATTTTTATATCACGACCTCTAGGAGAGGCTCCAGTGAGACCTTCTGAGCCTGTCTGAAAACGCTTTCCGATGTTCGATTCCGATCGACTCAATTTAGTACCGTGACATTGCGGCATCCTATTGCATCTGCATGATGCTGATCTGGTAACTCATTTTCATAGCTGCCGCAGCCCAGTGCTTATGAGGACGAATTGCGGTCCACGAAGATCTATGTGAGCGCAAAGAATGGAAGGACATGCACAGAACGTCTGTCGTTCCTAAATTTCTAGATTGTCATCTCGTTGCCTCCAGGTCACACTTCACGCAATTACATGGATGTGGAACAGCCCATAACCCTAGGTGACCTACGATCAGCGCTTGGCCGCATTCAGTCATTCTCTTGGTCTGCACGCGGCACAATATAAAACGACACAAGGCAGACATTATATTCTATGGTTTGAGACCGGTTCTTGTTCTTATCCTGAAATACACAGGACTTACTGTCAGCAGCACTGTTAGCTGATTTTTATTACAAAAGCACACGCATACCAGTAAGTTTTCTCAGCCCAAGAGATGGAAACATCATAATGATGCGACGTGACCATTAACAGATCTACCCATTACCTTTCTTGAGTAAGCTCAAAGATGGGAGGTCTATTCAGTCGAAGGCGGCCAGAAGCGCCAAGTCCATCCCTCGCCGATATAAAAGCACGGCAGGCTGCAGAGGCAGCTGCTGCGCAAGCCCGCAAGGATGCTGAGGCTGGCAGGGCACAGATCGCCGAGCTCATCAGGTCGAATCAAGAACGGCAGCAAAAGGCTACGGCGGCTCAGCAGGCTGCTATGCAAGCCGCAGCAGCCTCGCAGGAGCAGGTTGAAAAGGAAACCGCGGCGATGGCCCAGGCCGCAAAGGCTGCCAATGATGCCCGCTTACTGGCAGAAGCTGCTGCCCATACTGCTAATGCAGAAGCAAAACAGAGAGCAGCGGAAGCAGAGGAGGCGCGTAAGCGAACTGCAGCTGTCCAAGAACAAGCCAGAAAAGACGCCCAGGCTGCCCAGGAGCAGGCCAGGAAACTACAGGAGGCCGCCAATGTGGAGAAGAGGAAAGCGACTGCCGCCCAAGAGGCAGCCAATGCGTCGAAGAAAGTGGCAGAGGAGGAAGTAAGGGTGGCCAATGCTGCCAAGGAGGAGGCTGAACGCAAGTTGAAAGAAGGTATTCAACCTGTGGTGACTCCTACACCTGAAGAAGTTAGCGCCGCCAAGCGTAAAGTTCAATATCGCGAGGACCTTTTCCACTTCGCGGTAGCTGGGGTGGCAGGAGGAGGGAAATCATCTCTTATCAATGCGTTCCGTGGCTTGCGTAATAACGACGTTAATATCGGAGCTGCCGCCACTAGCGTCACTGAGACAACGCTGACCATGGCTAGATACCCCAACCCCAACGCGGAATACCCATATGTCTGGTACGATATCCCGGGCGCGGGCACGCTCAAAATCCCAGACTGGCAGTACTTCAACGCCCAAGGACTTTACGTCTTTGACTGCATCATCGTCCTGTTCGACAATCGCTTCACCATGACCGACATCGCCATCCTCACCAACTGCAGGCGTTTTAAGATCCCCACGTATATCGTGCGTTCTAAGGCAGACCAGCACATCCGTAACATCATGAAGGATATGGGGTACGACAGCGATGTCGATGAGAGCGGAGACCAGAAGAAGAAGCTTTACCAGGCTGCACAGCAGCAGTTCATTCAGCAGACGCGCCAGAGCGTGAAAGACAACCTGGAGAATGCCAATATGCCTGACCAAAGGGTTTACATCGTTTCTAATGAACCTATGCTCGGGGTCGTGAAGGAAAAGCGGCCAAGGAGGGTGATCGACGAGATTGAGTTGTTGAACGACTTGATTGGAGAAGCCCAGACCAGGCGAGGACGTCGTGATGCTGTGCGACTATTATGAAGAAGTAGTTGATGATGATACAGTTCTTCCTATATTTCTTTCTTCGGGCTCTTGTTGATACTTCTCCATTTTCGACATGATCATACCGCTCGACCGCCGACTCGCAGTCGGTGACGATACAGTTCTTCCTATATTTCTTTCTTTGGGCTGATGTTATTACTTCTTCACATGTTCTTACCGCTTGCGAACGACTGACTTCCATTCCACTGAATACAATTACAAAGGGCTTGCAATTGAGATTTCTGGTATGAACTCAGATCCACAGGACGAAAGGTGTCGCAAGACTTCTGATGTAACGCGATCCTGCATCTCCCACATCCAATTTCCTTGAGGGCAGTCGTGAAATGAATTTGTGGGTGTTTGACCTCGTGCAGACCAAGGGTTCGAGTGTTTGTGTCGACCGTCCAATTTGGGATAGGGGTTGGTTAAACAACCCCTCAAGACTACTTCTGTTCTTCGTTGTGATTCGGTGTGAATCTACAGCACTCATTCTGAACCAACGTCGTTAGATTTAATTTCCGAAGCATACGCATTTCAGTAAGCTTCCCCAGCTAGAGAGATAGAAGCCATCATGCAATGCGACGATTAACAGGTCTACGCATAACCATTCTGTATACATCGAGAATGGGAGTCTGGTTCGGTCGACTTTGGCCAGAGGTGCCGAATCCGTCGCTTGTTGAAATAGAAGCGCGCCAACGTGCAGAAGCGGTGGTCGAACAGGCTCGCAGGGATGTCGAAATTGCCCAGGCTGAGTTGAGAAAGTTCATGCAGGAGAATCAAGAATCGCAGCAAGAGGCTATGAAAGCTCAGAAAGCCGTGCAGGCGCAAGAACATAAGGAAATGATGGCAACGTTGCAGGCTGAACGGGCGGCTAGCGAAGCGGCACAGGCGCAGGCTCACAAGGAGATGATGATGATAGTGCAGGCCGAGCGCACTGCTAACGAAGCCCGCTTGATGGCGGAAATCGCTGCCAATGCCGCCAGTGAAGAAGCGAAGCAAAAAGTAGCAGAGGCAGAGGAGGAGCGGAAGCGAATCGCCGCCATCCAAGAACATATCCAAAAAAAACGCTCGGGCTTCTCACGAACATAGCAAGAAACTCGAGGAGGTTGCCAAAGAGGAGAAGAGGGAGGCAATTGCCGCCAAGGAGGCAGCCAATGCGTCCAAGAAAGCGGCAGTGGAGGAACTTGAGAAGGCAAACGTTGCCAGAGAGGAGGCTGAACGCAAGCTAGCTGAAGGCATTCAGCCTTTGGTGACCCCCACACCTGACGAAGTTCGCGCCGTCAAGCAGCTAGCTCAATATCGCGAAGGCCTTTTCCATATCGCAGTAGCCGGAGCGTCAGGAGGAGGCAAATCCTCCCTCATCAACGCCTTCCGTGGCTTGCGCAATATGGATATCAATATCGGAGCTGCTGCCACTGGCGTGGTCGAGACAACGACGGTCATGGTCCGATGCCCCGACCCCAACGCGGACTATCCGTATGTCTGGTACGATGTTCCAGGCGCAGGCACGCTCAAAACCCCAGACTGGCAGTACTTCTTCAATGACCAGGGACTTGACATCTATGATTGCATCATCGTCCTGTTCGACAATCGCTTCACCATGACCGACATCGCAGTTCTTACCAACTGCAAACGTTTCAAGATCCCCACGTATATCGTGCGCTCCAAGGCGGATCAACACATCTATAATATCATGAAGGATATGAGACACGACAGCGACAATGACGAGGATAGGAAGCAGCACTATCACATTGCACGGCTGCAGTTCATTCAGCAGACGCGCCAGAGTGTGAAAGACAACCTGGAGAATGCAAACATACCGGATCAAAGGGTTTACATCGTTTCGAATGAAACGATGCTCAGTGTCGTGAAGGAAAAGCAGCCGAAGGTCATCGACGAGATTGAGCTGTTGAACGATTTGATTTGGGAAGCTCAGACTAGGCGCCTAGGGCGCCGTGAAGACTGTTGTGAAGAACCAGCTGCAGTCTATAACGGGGAATTGAGTCAACGGTGGAATCCGAAGGGAAGCCTCGCAATTTCCAAATCTGTCTGAACAATTTGAAGCAATCTATGTTTCCCGTTTCTTATCAGTGCTTGACCACCGTAAGCAAAACGAATAATAATTCCACAGTTCTACAGGCGAGACTGCTGGGATAATCCTAGAGACGAAAGGAATCGCAACACTTCCGATGCAACACGGTCCTGCGCCTCCAACATCACCCAATGACCAACACCCTCGAGGGCAACGGTATTGAGTCGTGAAATGAATTTGTGGGCGTTTTGGACCGCTGACGGAGGACACGTGGCGTCTTTGGTTCCATACATGAAGAGAACGGGAAAATTCGGCAGTAGATGTGCAGGTAGCTGAGCCTCTGGCTTGGGGTGAGAAAACGAGTAAGACAGTGAACGAGTCGTGTCTACCTTTCTCCTCTTCGAATCGCGTTTTCGTGGTTCGGTAATAAGACAAAGGCCCTCGCATGCCGCGCTGAAAACGAGAAATATAAAATTGCAATTCCTGTCATGCAAACGATTATCAGCGTGAACGTTATCACGAACGATCCATCATTACACGTTCGTTGAGGAGGCAATCATCGGTAAAATTGATTTGCTTATTGGTGATCAGCTCATCCAATTTTGACCACGACAATGCCTTCTCAGGCATTCTGAATACCATACCGAGAAAGGGGACGAGCTTCGACCACCTGAGTCAAAGGCGTAAAATGAAAAAGAAGATACATACGTTTTCCTCGATCTCGGATGTTGATGATTCGGACGCAAAGAATACTTGATATCCATAGGATGGATATTTTCTGGCCATTTCCTCGACAGACATATGCTGTTCCCTTGGAGGAACATATGGAATAGATAACCTAGGGACATCTCGTCGATGGTGCATTTAAGACTGAATTAATACGCACATGACTAGCGCTATCAACCGATCCGGATGCCACAAAGCAAACCTTCCAGCAGTGTATGATCCCCAATCATGACCAATCACCACCTGAGTCACTCAAATTCAGGATATCAAGAAAATGGGTTCAACAGATAGGACAAACGGACGGCTTTGGGTATCACTAAGAAATCAAGAAGTGCCGAAATATCATTGCAAATATTTTTCGTGGAGTACGCTGAAGAATCACGGGGCATGTCGGTTTCGCCGTAGCCTAACATGTCTGGAACGATCACACGGAAGCCTTGTCGACACCATGGACCAATCTGGTGCCGCCATCCGAACCTAATCGATGAATTGAAGTTTGTGACAAGTTGATCATCGAAAATTACCAAGAATCAGGAAAGCCATGTAGACAAATTAGTGGTGGTCGAGTTAGATCGTAATCCTTCGGGATTTGGTCGATAAAATGATAAAGGCGACCGGTAGAAATCTGAGCCGTGCGATGATTAAAAGTTTGAGGATCTGTTGGATTCATGATGATGGAGTCAATGGCAGAGATATGGCAGTGTCATGCGGCACCGCAGCTGGGAACTAAATCCGGCAAGTTCCACCTTTCGCCTTTGTGAAATACTCCCAACACGCCTTTGCCTGAACTACGCATCTCATCGTCTTCCAACAACGTTATTCTCTCCTTCAGCTTCCCCGCAATTACCGATCCCTTAAATAACAACTTTTTCCCGATTTTTCACCGTTTTTTTCTACTGTGAGATCCGCAAATCCCAAACTTCATTCATATCACACAAACTACAAGTAAGTCTTCACACTTCCTTACATTTTTGTCTTCATGAATACCACTCATACTCTCTCATCAGTTCTTAATATGCCGGCTATCGTATCTTCTCTACCGTACCCCGTGCAGATGTTTCCGCAAAGTCGAGGTCTTCTCCACGACCTCGCAAGACTCGCATGGTCAAGCCCAGGGGAAGGGGTAGAAACAACTTTGAGAGCGACGAAGAGTTTGAAAGAGAGGTCGCAACTGACTCCGAGTCCGATGATGATCGTTCCTCAGTTGCCACTGAAACTGACTCCGACACTGAACCTGCCTCAGAAGACATTGTTTCCAACGGTCACTCACACATTTTAACGCCCAATACAACTCAGAGCTCTGAGGATGTCCCATCGCTCAAGCACCAGTCAGTCAAAGACATCGATGGTGACTCTACTCCTTTTTTCAGTGCCGCTGGCAACTGGTCGGAGATGGTCGCTGAGGAAACTGCCAATGGCCCTGCGGAGCTCCCAGTTATAGAGTTCGCAGATTTCAATAGCCCTTCTATCCCCCAGCGCACTCTGTCGGGACCGCCTCCGCGTAAATCAGGTAAAGCGTCGAAACGTCCCCAGCCCAAACGCGCAGTCTCAGCGCCTTCGTCTGACCGTGGTGCGGCGGCGCCTCTGTTCTCACCTGTTCAAACCGAGGAAGACGCCTCAGAGCCTGCGGATGATCAGCCCCAGGCATCGACATCTCGACAACAATCCCGAAATTCATTCCCTAGGCCCCCTTCTGGACACAATGCTCGTCAAGCTTATCAGCAGAGGCTAGAGGCGGACCCGTCGTATGTTCCCACTGTTGGTGAGTTTTGGGGCCACGATGATCGGCTGCTGGATAAGGACCTTAGGAGCCTGAGTGGGTGGTGGAGAGGCCGCTGGCAGGGTAGGGGTCGTGGAAGAGGTGGTTTTGGTTTCGTGCGCGGTAGGGGCAGAGGAGCCTTTGCTGGTCCAGAGTCTAGTCGTTCTGCACCAGAAGCATCTGTATCTCAAGATACAGAGAAACCTCCAGTTGAACCGCCTCTTATTGACCAACCGTGGACCCACGACGGTTTCGAGGAGATGAAGAAGCGAGATGAAAAGAGGCGTGCGGCTGCACCACATCAACAGCAGCAAGCAGCAAGGTCTACACGAGGTTTTTTGCCAATTCGTGGCAGGGGTGGATTTATTGCCGGCCGCGGACGTGGCGGTTTTGCACGTGGCGGTTTCACGCCTTCACCGACTGGAGCACACTTTATTCCTCCTGCTGCCGCTGCCGCTGCATCAGGCAGGACGTGGTACGCGATGAAGCCCGAACGTATCTGGACAAAGCAACACGAGGGTTTCCTGTATTTCGACCCTGCCTTGAAACCTCGTCCCGGTCAAGGTCCAGGCTATCGGGTCAAGCTCTCCGGCAATGAAGGGAAGGTTATCAGAAGCTCTGCTCGAACCACTCAAGCAGCAGAGCCTGCGCCATCTGTGGCTGCACCTTCAGAGGCGAGTGAGAAGACATTTGTTGTGCGTCTACCCAAGAGGGCGGGAAAGGAGAAGGCACCAGAGCCAACTCCTGAGGTTGTTGAGTCTGTTACTACCGCCGCAGATCCTCCCATCGAAGATGTTTTCACAGTTCGACCAGAGCTCGTGCCCCCAAGGCAGCCAATTCCAACTTCGCAATCAGCTTTGCCTCAGGCCAATGGTCATGTGCCTTCTACGTCAGTATCTGCTGTGCCTTCCAAACCTGCTGCGCCAGCCCCTTCATCACCTGATGCCTCGAAAGAGAATATTACGTCACCTCTTCTACAGCAAATGATGCGTGCGGCCGCAGATCAACAGGCCAAGGAGACTACAGATGTGCCAAATGGCATATTGCAGGAGCAGTATGACCAGAATGTGCCTGCTCTCCTTCAGGTCGAACAACCCACAGCGAACCCGGATACCTCTGATGCTGTCCATTCATCGATACCTCCATCCCTGCAGACTGTGTTCTCGCCGCCATCGCAGCCCTCGCCTCCGTACGGATCGCCATATGGGTATGGCTCTACTATACCACCCGGTGTGGCCATCGGCCACCATGGTATGCCATACGAGATTGCCACGGGCCGAGCGGTGTATCTGCAACACCCGACGATGTACACTCCGCGCCCGTTAGCCCATGGCATGATGACACCTCCAGGGCTCCCATATGCTCCTATGCACCATCATTCCGCCAGCTCTCCAGATTTCCTTGCGCCATCTCATACACCTCCTGTTAATGGTTACATTGACCCATCGACTGGCAATCCGCTCTTCGCGTTCCCTCGCCAGAGTTCTCGGATTGAGATCCGATCGCCAACCTCTCATTCGGATCTCAAGCAGTTGAACAGTAATCGTCGGCCTTCCAGTTTGAGGACGAGCGCAGCCTCATTCGAGCCTTCGCGTCCTGCAAGTCCCAATACTGAGTCACTCACATACCAGACATCTGAAGATCCTTCTGCACAGGATGATGCAAGCTCAAGTCAAGCCAATGACCAAACGATGCCAGAGCAGGCAATGGAGCCCACCATGTATGGCTACTCGCCATATCATCAGCAGTACTACTATCCTGAACAGTACGGGTACTCCCAGTACTACGACATGTCTCACGTTCCACAATACGAGATGTATCCCACCGACCCACATGCTTCTCAGGTCTACTACTAGTACTAATACTCATGTTATATCTTCTGATGCTGTTGTTTTTCTTCTGTTCTTGCTTTGGGATACATACGTACACCGCTATCCATGACCGTTTCAATGCTTACGATCTTGACGTCCTCAGGCCTCAGCAGTTACCCTCACAGACTTCCTGTTACTCCAATGCGTTCCTTACTTTACTCATGCTGTTTTACTTGTGTTTCTCTTACTGCAATGCTTCTCGGGTCTTGAATATGATATTGGATTGTTGGTATTGTTGTTGAACATTTTACCCATGTAGTTGTTTGCAATAGTCCATCTCTTCCCCACTCATGTACCAGTGTATGTTTGACTCGAGCTCCTGTAAGGCTGTGGTAATAAGGAACCAGTTATGGAAATGTACATTAGTCATACAAATATTGGTCATCCAAGCTTGTTTTCTGCGTGGCACAGCAAGTAGCCAGTACAACTTCCTGTCCTAGACCACCACCATCACTCACCACGGGCTTTGGTCAGGCTCGTCAGATTGAAGGTTGTGGACTGTATTTCTCAATTCAGTGGTATGTAGCAGCGAGCTAATGTCTAATTTTGTGAAAAAGCTATATTATTCCCACAATTAGATACGTTTCAGAAAGAAACACATTCATTGTACTCAACGCGGCTCAGACCGCACTATCCAGTCTCGCAGAAACCGCACACGGGATCTCGCAGCCAGTTATTAGGATGGCATTCGTTCAACCTTTCCCACTCGCAGCAGCAGCCCAAAAAACACAACAACCGGCGTTCGGCCCCGACTTAGCCGTGCGTCTCATTTGCCCAGAGTGCAGAGATCCAAATCCGAATATTGTCGAAGAATTTGGGAGTGGGGATCTTGTGTGCGGGAGCTGTGGACTGGTCCTGGGTGATCGTATTGTTGATACGAGAAGTGAATGGAGGGTGAGTTCCTATTGTCTCCTTTACTGTTGCGATAACCCTGCACCTATCATTGTATGCGTAGACATTCGCAAACGACGAAGGCGATGATCCTTCTCGTGTTGGTGCTGCGTCGGACCCTCTATTGGAGGGTATAGAGCAACTGGATACGCTCATCAGTTTCCGTGATGGCGGCACGGGAATTGCACGCGAGCTCCAGCGTGCGGCTTCTCGCTCCCAGAGCTCGCGCTCGGAGCGGAATCTTCTTACCGCGTTCCGCGACATTGGCAGCTGGTGCGACCAGTTCTCCCTTCCCAAAACCATCAGCGATATTGCCAAGCAGCTATACAAGCGCTCAGACGAAGAGAAGCTTCTTCGAGGAAAACCCCTCGAGGCTGTTATCGCCGCGTGTATATTCATCGCGTGCCGCCAAGCCCACGTCCCTCGTACATTCCGCGAGATTTGTAACTTGACCCATGTATCGAAGAAGACGCTTGGACAGTGCTATAAGGCACTTGAGCAGGCTTTCAATCTTTCGCCTGGAGCTACGGCGCAGGTTAATGCGAATGGAAGCAACCCGTCCACTGGCCCTGAAAACTTGCTTGTTCGTTACTGCAATCACCTTGACCTTCCCGCCAACGTCCAGTCTATTTGCGGTGATATCATTGTTGCAGCACGTCAGCATGGCGTTGCGGATGGTCGTAGTCCGGTTTCCATCGCTGGCGGGGCGATTTACTTTACTTGCCACTTACTAGGGAAGCCCAAGTCTTCTCGAGATATCAGTGTAGTTGCTGGTGTCAGTGAGGGTACTATCAAGTTGGTGTATCGGTTGTACTACTTGGAGAGGGAGAAATTGGTGAAGGAGGAATGGATCAAAGAAGGGAGAGCTGACTTGGACAGGCTTCCTGTTGAGCGGTAAAGGGATGTAACCTCTTTGTGTACCGATTTGTTACGGACAATAACAGTGATACTTATAATGATTCGTGTGATCATTTGACATGACGGACTGCTGGTGTACTATGTGATACTTTTAGTAGCTAGCGTTTACCACCTCGTTTGCCCTTTGCTCCTTTTCTGTTGGCATCACGAGCAAGAGCAACACCACCTTTGCCCTTGCTTACATTCCGTATTGCCTTCCGTACGTTGAGAATGCCTTCGCCTTCGCCTTTCTCCTTTCTTGCTCTCTTTACATCGCCGTCCAACTTCGACAGTACGGCAAGTGATGCCTGTTTTTCTTGCTCGACAGATGTTTCTGTAGCCTCAAACTGCAGACAGTGAGCCGCATGCAGCGATGAGCTGTTCTGTTTTGACTTACCTTGCGTTTGACGCCTCTCAATTTCTTTTCTCCCTCAAGCTTCTTATCGAACCTACCCATGCTTGCAGTACTTATTCGACTGGCAGCCAGTGTCTTCTCAATATCCTTTTTACGTTCCTCCCGGTCACCAGCAGCGGTTTGTGCACGAGCATTATTTTGGAGTCGCTGTCGTTCATTTTTGGCGACCCTTGATGTCCGTGCATCACGGGCAGCTTTGACAGGATCATGGTCCACGGCTAAAGTGATGATTAGACGAGCTTCATTCGCAATAAACATAACACGCACGAGCATCAGCTTTGACTTCATGAATCCATTGTTCCTCCTTCTCCTTATTTTTACCATCCTTGCCCCAGCGGTTGACCCACTCCTGTCGCTCTTCATCCCACACCTTCTTTTCGCGCACACGCTTCTGGATACCTTTCGCAGCAGCGAAGCGTTCCCATTTTGTCGGTGGTTTGGGCTTTGGAAGGGGTTTGGCACGAGGTAGTTGTGTTGTTGGTGCAGGAAGTTGGGCGAGTGAGCCGTCTGGTGATGGTTTGGTGGGTAGGCCGTAGAGTGCTGCGATTAATGCTTGGATGCCATCTCGAGCAGTCGTCTGTAGGTACTCTTCAAGATTTGATCTGAAAGAAATATGTTCATTATATTTCCATGTAATTATACAAACAATCGGTCGTACTTGTAACTATCCTCGTCGATTGGGGTGAGGTCTGTGACAGTCAGGAAGCCAGTGTCTACGTCGAGTGGTGTCTCTTTCTCGACCGTGACAGATTGACTGCGTAAAGTCGTGAGTAATGATTGTACAAACAAAAAGAATCGTACAATTTTGCAGCATGTGATGCTAGGATACTTGAGACGTCCATTTCAGAACTTCGTTGCGTGAATATAGACACGAAAATTACCGTGCGGAGCACGGTCACCTACAATGTTGCGTGACGTGCAGATTCAAAACAACACCACACAAATCTGATCAGTTATGGTAACAAGGGTAATCCGCCACACTCAGAAAAAACGCCTCATCATGAAATCCGGATGATACCATTCTCACGGATTATTTGAGATACTAGGCTATGAAGTGCTGATATGCGGACCATTATGTTCTTTCCCTTAACTCCTCCATGTTTCCACCTCGTTGCTACACGTATCCAAAAGGTCAGTCGTCATCCGCATAAGTACTAGACATCGCGACTCACCAGTCACATTGCAAACAGAGCTGAGATTTCGTCCGCAGAGCTTTCATCCTCAACAAACATCATACACACTCCTCGTTGTCGTACTAGATATTCAATTAAACCTATTTGAAGCTATTCATTCACTTACTTGTCCTTTCATCTCAATTTGCATACCTTGTAAACGTCGACCATGAAGTCCATTGACCGTATTTGAAATGTCAACAGCTGATCCTAACTCAACCATATGATGATCACAATTGGGGAAACGAAAGATATGTAAAGCCCCTCGTCCTTGGCAGAAAGCTGATATGTGTTAACAGCGAACAACGTACCCAGTCTCAGCACGGACCTATAAAAAAGTTCCAGGTAATAAGACACATTCCATTACTGGTGGATGTTTCGACAGATTTGTGATGACATCATAATGACTAGCCAACACTTTTATGACAAAGCACGCATGTATCCCTACAGCAATGTTCACGTCTCTGCATGAGATAGCCAGGAACAACAATGGAAATGGGACCTTCTTACTTAGTGCGTAACTTGACGTATACACTTCACCCTAAAGACACATCGCTTTCCAGTCCAACCTACGCTGCATGAATATAGTTCTATATCAGCCGTTAAAGCGAGAACTGTGTTGCTTCTTACAGGGGAACCATGGACCGAAACTGAACAAGAAATTATCCTGATCGACATCGAAATGGGACACCATTGAGGCATCGATAACTTTATAGGTGAGTGCTACAAGTATATAAGAGGTTGTAATAACGATGAAACTAGATGTCCTATGTGCAATGTTGCATACAACTGAAACCAGCATCTACTACTCACAAGACGAAGACATGACAGCGGATCTGGTAGCACTTATGACCTCTGGTGCGCTGAACTCCTGCTCGCAACTAAGAGCATTAGCGCACCGTTGTAGCAATCGTTTGTTCAGAGTTCGGATATCACTATTATGAGCTTCATCTCGCCGATGATATGCCACTGTTTTTGCTAAAAGGGCTGATGCATTACAGGAGTGCTGCTGTCGTTTCGCAGCGTAGGACGAGATATACCATGCAATGTGTTTTGTTCCCTCGCCATTCGTAATGAGCTTGCAGTCGTGATTTGAGCGAGTCGCCAATAAAATGGTAGGATTCCAGTTATTAAGGAACCGGTATGTACGTTGAGGTCCCCAATCACCATTGGAATCAATCCAAGTTCCAGCAGCTAAAGGAAATGGTGCTCGACGCTGTCTTAATAACCGAGGGTCTTATATGAAAACGTGTAAGAATGTAATGACACCACAATTACACTGGATAAGACTTCTTGCCAGTCCTCGATTAACACGGTCTACGACTTTTCTTCTTTCGTGGTAGATAACGTGTGAGTTCTTGGGAGGCTCGCTAAACCAATCAGTCAGATTAACTTAGCCGGAGCTTTATTATCTCTGATTGAAACTATGGGATTGTCTAGGATATACCGTCTAGACACTTGAACTGGTTTCCTGAATATACGGTTAACTGTTGAGAAGCTGGTCTCAAATGTGACTACGTGGACCAAAGCTCGTGTTGGTCAATATACAAATACCTGGTGAGAACGCTGGTCTCACAAATAACAACAAATGACAAATAGAAAAACAATGACAAATAACAACAATGACCAAAGCTCGTGTTGGTCAGTATACAAATACCTGGTGAGAACGCTGGTCTCACAAATAACAACGGTGACCAAAGCTCGTGTTGGTCAGTAAACACTACGTGGTGAGAACACTGGTCTCACAAAACTGGGTTTCTATCGCGAGAAACTTACGTAATCTCAAGGGAAACACTTTCCCTGCACTTGCCTGGACAGTTCTTACAAAGGAAATGGGCTTTGTAAGCAGCAATTTGTTCAGACTGAAGCTTCTTAGGTGAGAGTTCAATTTGCTCAAGTGGGAGTTCTTGAATGCAACAAGTGGGAGATCTATTTTTTGGGGGAGAATGGGCTCTCCTTATATACATTTTGTGTGGGAATATTATGTAAGTAAAAAGGTGATGTAATGACTTCAGAATGTGAGAAGAATATTCCAAAAACTGGAGCAGAATGTTCTAGCAGGTGCAAAAGAACATTCCAGAATATTCATGGTGGGATAATGACATCATTCTGAGTCACTATGAGTCACTATGAGTCATTATGAGTCATTGGAATGTTCTAGCAAATTCCATGGAACATGACATCATTATGACATCACTATGATATCATATCTTTCAACCAAAATACCTGCAGGAGTGTAGGTGAAGTCCTATGACATCATTATGACATCATACCCTGTAGGTACAATTTTATGAAGCATCTGATTAGTCAGAGCATCCTAATAGAAAAGTAAAGTAAAGAAACACTAGAGAAAACAACTCAGAAATAATGGAACAAATAATAGTACACAATACGCGGGCTTTTTAGATAGGTTTTTGTTAGGCTTTGAACTTTTCTCTATGGGTTTCTCTAGCCAAAGTGAATAAGCCAAATGAAAGGCAATACATTAACCTTCATTTTGCTTCTCATATCAACTAGGTCATTATGTGATTCCCATCTCACATATGACTTTTCTTCAAAACATGGTGGATTCATGAATCGCTGAGGGAAAACTGAAACTATTGGACCAAGGTTTGATACCAAGGTATGGGTTGACTAGTCTGAGGACTAAGCTAACAGACTTTGTCTTTTAGGGGGATACCTAGTAGTCATGTCCATGCATGATTCCCAAATCATGCAGGACATCCGCGGGGCAGTGAAATCACAACTGTCCCCAGTTGTGTGCTCAATCATGCATAATAGTGGTGAATACATAAATAATGAAATGGGATATGGGCACCAAATGTGGGTAAGGAAGAAGCTGTCAAGTACCTTGTCAAAATATATAGATTTTGGCTCCATGATCATGTAAGCTTATCTTCTGATAAGGTCCATGCTCACAGATCTTTTTTCTTTAGGCAGTCATATTTCTCTAAGTTCATGCAAACATAAGTACTATATGATGCATGTCCATAGAATATGGGTGGGTGGGATGGGTTGAAATAAGTCAATCACTTTCTATGACTGACTCATCTTCTGTTGATACATTGGCACTTGACAGGCATATGTCATCATCTTCCTCTTCAAGGGGATCTGCTAGTGATGGTAATAATGATAAATCTCTAGAGATATATGGTACGAGTCTAAATGCAGCTACACCACGTTTAGATAAGACACCATTCATTTCTCTTAAGACATAAGATCCACCCTTGGTTTGTCTTTCTACAACAAAAGGGCCTAGATAACGGGGTTTGGTTTTGCGATTGAGTTCTTTCTCAATCCTTGTATTGCGTACAAGGACTAAGTCTCCTTTTTGGAAAGCTTCGCGATGCATTCGTAGACGAAACTTGTGTTCAAATTGAGCTTTAGACTTGAACCGGGCCTTTTTCAAGGTCTTTGCAGCACGGTCTAAGTCTTCCTGCCGCCTTTCAATCTGGCGGATACGTAGGGATAAGAAATCTGCTGGATTCATATTAGCATGGAATCCTTCTACCATGAAGGTTGCTTCTGTTAGGTCAAATGGTAGAACGGGATGAACTCCATGTAACAAATAGAAGGGGGACCATCCAGTCACACGACTGGTGGTTATGTTTTCTGCAAACAATGCCTGCCTTACTTTCTCAGGCCATTTTGCAATATTCTTTCCACAACTTTTTACTATAGCTTCTCTGATATTGAAATGCCCTCTTTCAACAACTCCATTAGCTTGGGAATTGTAAGGGGAAATCTGGACATGGGGAATATCAACACGCATGAGGAGTTGTTCAAATGCTCCTCTAACTTCGGGTCCATTGTCAGTCACTACTTGACCAATGGCTCCATATCTGCAATACAAATCTTCCCAGAAAAACTTTGCCATAGCTTTAGCAGATGGGTTTCGTAATGCTCTTCCTTCAACATAGCGGGATAAATCGTCCCTAGCGAGTACAAGATTTTTGTGGCCTGCAGCTGAAGGCATCTTCATAATATCCACATAGATCTTGACAAATATAGTCGCAGGGGTAGAAACAGTAATGGGGATGTGCATTTTCTTTACACTTCTTACTTGACAATCATGACAAGACTGTACATGATGTTTAACGTCCGTGTACAAATGAGGCCAATAAAAACGGTAACGAATGGTCTCAAAAGTTGCTTGAACACCTTTGTGTCCTAGTTCTTCATGAGCTTTATGAAGAATTGCAGCTCTCTTGTCAGCATCAAATACTACAAGTAGAGGGGGTCGTCCAACTAATCTTTTAAACATCTGGTCACCACGGACAAAGTACTGAGTGGCCCGGGTAACAAATTTCTTACGCTGGGCAGTCTTTTCAAAATTAGGTGGTTCCAAGGTGGTGAGAAATTTATATATTTCTCTTAGGGTCTTCTCTTGACTAGTTGTTGAGGCTAAGACGGATGGTAGACAAGTGGGTTCATAGGAATACATAGGAATGGATAGTGAACGCGGTCGGTAGTCTTCCTGAGAGATTCCTGCAAAGAGAGCTATATCATCTAGCCAGGAGTCTTCATCAGGTTCTATTTCTTCATTTTCTGCTAAAGGTCTCCTAGATAATGCATCAGGACCTTTAAAACGTGTGGCAGGAACATGAACAAGGGTGAAATCGAATAGGAGTATTCCTTGAATCCAACGGTTAATGGTTGCATTAGGTTGCAAATCAGGTTCGTTAAGCATTCCCTTGATGTATTTTGCATCAACTTCCACAATTAGAGTCTGTACTCCAATAATGTGAAGCCTGAAATGCCTAAGGGCACGGAAAAGTCCATAGAGTTCTAGTTTTGGTTGGGAGTACCTTGACTCTGTATCTCCCATGGGTAGAGATCCATACCTGGCTGGTCTTCTTCTTCCTTCATCATCCAATTGGGACAATATAATTCCTACAGCCACAAAACTAGAATCCACTGACAAAATCACGGGGTTGGCTGAAGTATAATCTATACTTCTCATTGCTGGGGCAGAACATATTCTCTCTTTCAACTTTTCAAATGCTTCATCTTGTTCATCACCCCAAACAAAGGGTTCATCTTTCTTCCATAGTCGGGTAATAGATTTTGCTAGTTCTGAGAAACCTAAAATCCAAATACGAACTGTTCCACAAAGGCCCATGAAGCCTCTTGCTTCTTTGACTGTGGTAGGAATAGGCCAATTGAGGATCTTTGACACCTTTTCTGTGTCAGGTAATCTTCCTTCTGGTGTACATCTTTGTCCTACTATTAGGACATCAGGCAAACATAGCTGTATTTTGGTAGCAGAAAATGTTGCTCCCACATCTTTTATGCGGTGCATTATTCTATGCACGTCAATAGCATGTTCCCAGATAAATCTTCTGATCCCAGGGTTTTCTTCTAACACCTCGGGATCTCCTTCTTCGTCAGGATAAGTAGACTTAGGTCCTTTGACCGGTAAGTCATCAATAAAAACATTGGCTACATGAGGAATTTCATCTTGCAATACAAAACTAGTGCACTTCTGAAATTCCGCAGGAGCATTGGTGTATCCCATAGGTAATGCAGTTAACCTTAGCAATCCTAAGGGTGTAAGGAAAGCTGTTAAATCTCTGCTGTCTGGGTGCATTTTCCTAGCATCAAATCCCCAGAACAAATCAAAAACAGTATAACATTGACGGCCAGCAAATGACTCTACAAAGTCATCTACAATCGGGATTAGGCCTGCATCTCGAATAGAAATTTTGTTAAGTGGTTGAAGGTCATGAACAAGTCGGAGTTTGCCATTCTTTTTTAATACACAAAACCAGCGTGAACGATAGGCTGATTGACTTGGCTCGTATACTCCTGCATTAATCTTGGTTCGTAACAAATCAATCACCTTTTCTCTAATACCGGGTGGAATAGGAATATTTTTGTATTCCCATGGAACATGAGGGATGGTTGGGATAATATAGGGGGTGAAATATGATTCCTTGAGAGTTCCTCGGTCAGTCTCTTCAAATGCTAGTGCATCTTGGTTTAAGTGCATTATATGTTGAAACAGTTTGACCTCCTCGGGCCAAAGAAAAGCAGCCGAGTTAATATTAAGACTCTTCATACGCTCAATGGTCAATCTACCATTAGGTATGAACTCAGGTGGATGTGGTGTCAAGGGAATCATAGTCTTCAAAGGATCATGGGGAAACTGCCTCAAGACTCGAGCATCTTGAGGGAAAGTACCGGAAACGGGCTTAACTTTCTTGTCAACTCGTTTAT